GGGTAACACGGTGATCTTTCTACAAAATTAATTAGTATACCAAGGACGTACATAGTCTTTCAAAATGTTTTGTCACTGATCTAATAAGCATGATCTCATTACTGTTGCTATCCTCTATTATCCTTTGAATACTGTTGCTATCAGCTACGTTAAAAAGAACATTTATCATTTCTGTACCCTCAGCACAACTGACAAAGTTTTGTGACTCTAGACTCACTTTTAAAGTTAGTGTGTACAGAAACTACTGAATTTTTTTGAAAAACGCATCACTTAGCACTTCCTTAATTCTTTTCGGAGCTCTTTGACAGGTATTCCAAAGCTTACAAATGATTCTTTATAATGAAGATGTTGATGCTTCTATGAACGTAATGCAGGTGACAAAATTCCAAAAGACAGTCTCAGTGTTTAATTTTAAAATAAAATTGGTTCACAAATGACACTAAAACATGGTGAAATCATATTCTGCTAACAACCAGCTGAGTAAACCTAATCTCTAGTTTCTCTGAGGCTTCATTCCCTTATTCAAAAACTAAATGTCTGGGTTTTAGCACAGAGTGCCTTCTCTGCTAGGCACTGTGCTGGACATCTGAGGTAAGAGGATGAAGATGTTGCCGTTCCCTTGAGGATTTCATAATTATTGGCATGTATGAATGAGGGAGTTAAATTAGGTAAGACATATATACAGGTCTTTCTAGTTTAAAAATTCTGTGTTGGTAATACGGAACACGTAACTTATTTAATTCATTATTTTTTCTAATTGGAGTATAATTGTTTTACAGTGTTGTGTTAGTTTCTGCTGAACAATGAAGTGAATCAACTATTTGTATACATATATCCCCTTCCTTGTATTCAGAAATGTATTGATCTAGTCAAGTGCCATTAAACAGAAAGAGGTGAAGCTCATACTGGTCTAATTTGCTACTTGTTGTAGAGAAATTTGGTGGCTATAATTAATGTTGAAGATTAGGTGAAAGGAATTCTTTGGATTCCCATTATTCATGTTGCCTTTGCCCTTTATTTCCACAGATCACTGATAGCTAGCTGGAGTAGCATAGTGAAACTGTTTTATGGACTGAGAAATATTCTTGGCTGACTTTCAAAGCCACAGTAGGAAACAAAATCCATAAAACTGACAACCTAGGAAATCAAAACCAACTCCAAGTTTAAGAACAAATGTATAATCACTAACATAATGAAATGATTTTATAAAACTTTATTATCTGCTAGAGATAGGCAACACAACAATGGAAAAAATGTTCAGCTATAGAAAGTACTGAAATTAGACATTTCCAAAAGATTAATTTTCTTTTCCCTTCGGAAGTCAAGCCCTTTTTCCAAATTATCCCTGTTCAAAAGTCAGAGTGCCGTGGACTGAAGGGACTTTATGATATCTTAAAAAAGGTCAGGAACCTATAGCCAGTCTAAATCTGGCCAGCCAACTGTTTCTTATTTGATTACATATTGTCTATGGCTACTTTCGCACTGTAGCAACAGAGATGAATAGCTGCAATAGAAACTGTATGGCCCAAAAAGCAAAAAATATTTATTAACTGGCCTGTTTCAGAAAAGGAATGCTAACCCCTATCTTAAGGAGATCTCACCACCATGATGGTAATTACTACACTGATTTTATTTTTCAATAGCAAACATTTCACAAAAATGGTATTTATTTCCTTTCAGCTCCTGCAATAAAATAAAATCCCCTATCATCTCTTCATATGATTTCTAAATTATAGGCCAACAAGTCATATCCAATTCAAATTTTAAAATGTTTTTCTAGTATAATTTTTAAATGTCATAAAGAATCCCAAATGGCAGGCATCTGAATTTGTTTCTTAAAATCTACCCCCCACACCCCCAATGTCAATATTCAGGCTTGAAAGAGACCTAAAGAAGACTAGCCAAACATATACTATCAACACTCTGAACACAAGCACTACTTATGATAATTTTCTTGGTGCATGCAAAACGCAAGCAAATTTTCATTTCAAAAGCAAGATAGCTACAAATGACCTATGTGCCCTATAACAACAAAAAATAACTCCCAATTCCTAGTAAAATGTTGCATCAGGCCATCTCTCTAAGGAAAGTCATTAATGTCAGCTGGTGAGGATGATTCCAAGATCCACTGACTAGCTGGAACGTCCCAGACAGAGGAAGTTGTTCTAGGAATCTCTAGATTAGTCTAGTGGCCATTTCCTCAGTCGGAGGAGACCAGGCCAAGAGAATACAGTATATGGGGAATCACCCTATCCTTCTTCACTTCTGGGGACAGAAGTGTTGCCTAAGACAAGAATGACTGTTGATTTACTGCCCAGCGTGCTCTCCCCTCCCCACTATAACCCTGAAAAAGGTAAAAATTTAAGCTAGCTGGGAGGCAGGGCAGAATACTAGAACCAACTGTGTAATATCCTACTTTGCATTAATGCAGGGGCCTTTTTATGAATTTTTTTTCTTCAGCTGTAAAGCACTTAAAACAGTTTCTAGAATACAATAAGCACTAAATAAATGTTACCCAATATTATTATTAGCTCAGTATAATTCAAATCTCTTCCCTACGTCAGTGCCTTAGTCCCTACCATAGTATCCATTTTCCAAAGAGCTATGCTACTTTAACAGCATTTTCAATTTTCCCAAATATTTACAGATCATTAAAGCACTTTGCAAAGGGAATCTTACAACATTTCATCCAACTCACAATATGAAATAAGACAAAAAAATCTTATTCAGAACACCCATAATTTAAATGGGCATACAGAAAAAGAGAAGTAAATATCAGGCTTACTTATTTTTCAGGTCCCAAAGAACTTAAATGGGGCAGGGAAGAGGAGAAAATAGTGGTTGTAAGTAGACACTTTTGTAAACATGAAAAATCTCTCTTTCTGAAAGCACAAATATTTCTAAAGCTAAGCAAATAGTATGTCTATACTCTATTTAATGTGCAGATTGCAATCCTCAGTTTCATGGCTAATTTGAGTAACTTCAAGTAGTCAAAATAATTGACGTAACATGCACAGGACAGTACAGACTAGTATATATCATAATTCATGGCTCAATCTGTTAAACAGCTTAAGTGTGGAAATCCAAATCTTGATAAGAAGGAACAGTCGTCTTAGGCACTGTCATTTTTGGACTAGTCATATTATTATATTAGTTGGATCTGAATGTTATCATAGAAAATCAGAAGAAATGAAAGCAATGAATATTCTACAGCCCAAAATTATATAGAAAATTTCTAGCTTATGGAATTTTTAATTTTTCTATGTTTCCCTATGTTACTATGTTTCTTATGTTCCTATATTTCTTTAACAATGTATAGAGTTGGTTTAGTATTTTCGGAATTTCATACTTTTGCTATCTATCAACAGCTGTGCTTTCAGTTTCTAGAAACTGTGTCCAATTCAAATAGCTGAAGAATAAAAATATACGTGTGAAGCTTTTGTTTGTCTTTGTTTTCAGGTTACAGCACTCTAACTAGATAAAACAATAACTTTCTAGGTAATGTTGGCCTATCACACAATTATGGGGAAAAAACAATCAAAATATCATTCTATGAGATTCTTATGGCTATAAAAACCAAACTATATAAGACTTAGTGCAGCTAAAGTACAACTAAAACTCTCTACTTTGGACTATTAACATTACATTTGGTAGTTCAGCCTTATCTTTGTTTTCTGAAATGTCAACTAACTTGACTGAAACTTCTCTATGCAAAGGAAACTACACAGAATTTACCTGTACTTTATCTGAATGAGCCACTGAGGAAGGGCTCACAATATGATGAAGACTACTAGAGGAAATGATATCTAGAGACTGCAAATTATTAGCATCTCTTAATACATTTGCAAATTTCTACTGAGCCAAATTGCCTACAAAAAGTTTATTTCTACCAAGTGCCTTGTCTGGTTTCTCATACCATTACCTTTCAAAGGCATTTTATGAGAACTCTGCTACATATTCCACCTCCCATTTGGTTCATATTTAACAGTGTTTCCCACCCTGTCCCTTTCTAGGCTCCAAAAACAGACGTCTCTGATGGCACATAAATGTGGCAAATCACCCTACTTCAGTAAACTTCTCTGGCTTCTTTTTCTTCTCTTGCAGTCAAGGTGAACTTGAGCTATTTGTAACCTTTTGTTCCATCTCACTTCAGATGTAATAAAAGGACTCATGAACTCCAACTCATAAAATAACAAGATTGGTAGGTATTTACAGAGTATCAGATGGGTGGGGTAGAGAGCAGGGCAGGCTACCTCCCAATGTTTCCTAGTGACAGTTCATACTCTCATCTGATTAGGCAGCTCTACCTGTAAAGAAGAGAGCAGTATGCCTCTTATCAAATTTAACACTGAGACTTAGAAGGTGCCTTCTGCCATCACCATAATTATCATCAGCAAAACTTTTATAGTCAATGTATAATCAGAGAGTTATGAAGAAAACACACAAATAAACACTCTCCAGCATGAAGTACTTGTACCATGTATTCCTTAAAAGACCTGTAAATCTCTGTACAGAAAAAAAAAAAATCACACTTGAAAACAGTTTAATATATATATATATACACACACACGATATGTTTGATATGATATTATAAATAATCCTCTTTATTGTCTGACATTCAGAAACAAAACTATGAATACTAATTTTTATTCTATTGTAACTATATTTTAGGAAACATGACTTAATCCAGATAATACTAAAATCTGTATAATAACAACTTTTATTATAATTGGATTCTACTCTATCATGTAATTATGCTTAACTGAACTTTATTTACAGTTTTAATCACATGTTAATAAAAACCCAAATTTTGATAGGCAGTGCAGGGGGCTCTCTTTAGATAGTAAACTATAAAAATTAGCTCAAATGCCCCAAATGCATATCAGTCTTAAAAAAAAAATTATACATGAAAGTACTATAAAGTGATGATGTGAAATAATTTAATTCCTCTACACTGTAATTGCTAATATTTAATAGCAGTCCTATTAAATATTTCTTACCTGCCCCTTTCAACTGCTAAGGCATCAAGTTCATCAAAGAAAATGATGGAAGGAGCCACTGCTCTCGCTTTTCGGAAGATCTGGTGGAAAGAGTGCTACATTAGCTAAAGATCAGCAAATTCCAGAAAACTCCATAGCTAGTTTTAGTTTGAAAATTATATTTAGAACCAAATCTATTATGTACCAGTAAACCAGCCCAATCACTTTGTATACAGCCTGTAACAGATGTATATTCATAATGGATGTAAAAGTATCCTCTTCCATGGTGCTTACTTGCAAACAGAGACAAGACACCAACACATATTCTTAGAGGTGTGTAGGAGACAATTTGGTTAAATAATCAAACAATCTCAGTTAAAATCCCACCTTCACCACTTGGTAGCTGTGTGACCTTCAGTGGGTAACTTTATTTTTCTAAACTACGATTTCCACATCTCTAAAATGGAGATTATAAAAAATGCCTGCCTCAGAAGTTTAAGAAATGGATTAAAAAAGAATGCAAAGCACTTAGTATAATGCCTGGAACATTTATCTAAATAAACACGTATTTAAAAGAAAAATCATAAATGTATAAAATCAGCCAAAGTTTAGCATATACAATACTCATAAACCTAAAAGCCACACACTTTGCTCATTTCTCTGAAGACTGTATGGAAAAAACAGCTAAAACTTGGAAAAGCATAGATAGGTTAGATCTGAAGTCAATCAGACTATCAACATCAAAGACTGGCCAGACAGCCACGGGGAAAACATGTGGAAATGGGCTAGAAAACGTCAGCATAAGCAGAAAGAAATCCAAATGTGTGTAACCTGTAACCTAGGCCTCCATTTTCTGGCCACAAGTATGATGACCATAAAAATACACAACACTCACCAAAACCTTAATATTAAAAAAAACACCTTTTTCATATTTTAATCAATGAGGTGCTATCATTATCAGTTAATGTTTTATATTATAACCAACATCTACATTTCAAGAAAAAAAAAAAAGAAAAAGTAACTTAAATTTTTTTCTCAGATGCAAAACAAAGTATTCCAATCTCTAAGACTCTTGGTTGATACCCACATGTGTCATAAGCAGAAGACCATCCGTTCCACTGCTATTTATGTGTTTTTGTCCTTGCTTAGCTTCTTTGAGGATACAGGGTGCCTGTGTGAGGCAGGCCAATCTTTGCTTGGGAAGCCGAGACTTGTGATAAAACTGCTATAGTTACCCCCACTTCAGTGCCTTGATTTTGCATGAACTTCCCAGTTATGTAGCTTCAGCAATATGGATTAGCCAGTAGGCCAATCAGGCACTGGCTGTAAAATTTAAGAGAGGAGGGGGATGCACTTTCTAAATCACCAGTCAAAGGTAAAGTAAATAAAATAAAAAGAGTACAGTGACATTTTCATATACTAATAAGCTTATCTGATTTAAAGGGCTACCTGGTTTAAAGGATTTAAATCTCATTCTGACATCATGCATTCTTTGTTAAGTTTAAACATATCCTTATTTTTTTTAATGAAACGCTGACATTCGTTAAAAAATATTTGGTAAAACTAAAGGCTGGAAATATTATGATGTTTAAAAGCAAAAACAAAGAATTGTAGATGACCAAAATTGCATTTAAAAATAATATTTGCCTGAAGAAAAATTATACCACTAGAATTTAGATTTGGAAACTTCAAAATCTATAACCCCAAACAAAATGGAAACCATACAGGACAGAAGCCTGGTTCTCCTATGCAGAGTTCCACTTTAAGACATAATCTTCTTACCTCTCTAACTGCTCTTTCAGATTCACCAACATATTTGTTCATTAATTCAGCCCCCTGAATGAAAAGAAAACAACTGTTCAGTGTCTTTATAAATCCAAACACATGTATATCTTTCAATAAAAGAGAAAATACACACATAAAAGAAAAAGAGGAAAAAAATAGACAAAAATCAGCTTTTAATTAAAACAGTTCCTCTAGCATGCTTATTTTTATTGGGTGTTATTTATGCCTCAAAAATTAAAGCCATTCTGTATTCCAAAAACTACACATCAACACAGTGACTGTAACTAAACATGATAGTTTAACATCTCATTCATCATCTGTCCACCCACCCATCCATAATTTTACTATATATCAGGAAGGGTGCTAGGCATTGAAGACAGAACAGTCTAATGCTACATCAACAGCCCTCTCTGACAAGAAGCAAGACCTCAGGGCTAATTCTTTTTATGACTCCATGATAATCCCTGAAAATGGAATGGGAATCACGTAATCAATGACATTATCTTAGTCCCTGAGTATTTCCAAAATAAATGCTACTCTCCAGCTCCCTCCTCTCATTTGACTTGGCCATGTAGATGCTGACTTTATGGATCTGCAGGGCCAAACAAGCTCTTCTCAGCCACTATCCCAGCCAAAGGAGACAACTCCTGCAGACAAAAATCTTAGGACCACCAACAAAGCTAACCCTCAGTCAGTGTATCACATTGTGAAAATGACAATGACCCTTGTTACCCTCCATAGTGTCTATTCACTCAGTCTCTGTCTGAATCTCCCTTCAGATATCTGCCACTCAGCACTTCATCCAGTTGATGGGAAATCTCTTTTCCCTTCTGTGTCCAGCTATTTTAGAATGGATACCAAGAATGAAAGGTGTGGACTTCTAGTAATAAAATCTGACAGTTTTTACTAACCGGCCATCAACAGAAGAATCCTCATAAAAGTGGCTGGACTCCCAGCAATAAAGCGCCTATCACTGATTCAAAGATACACTTTTTTTTTGGACATTCAACATTTCTGAATAGTAAGATTTTTCTTTCTCAAGTACCTAAAATATTATGTATAGTATGAAATGGTAGGCTTTCATTTTTACCACACACCTATCTACTTTCTCATGCTAGTTATCACATCACAAGAAGTCATGGGATTAAAAAACAAATAAATAAAATAATAATAATAATAATAATAATAATAATAATAATGCTGTCCTGAGAACCACAACTCTTCCCTTCAGATACTGGTATAAAGTTTATTGTACAAAATGCCAGATGTCTTTCTCGGCTATGGGCTTTCACTCACTGTTCTTCCCAGCATCTGGCTTCTATTGATACCCTTCCCCACACAATTCCAAACCCATTAGACATGTATGTGTGTGCTTCTCTCTCTGCACATGTGTGCGTGTATGCACACACACGTACACACACACACATATTATTTTGAACAAGATTCATGTTCTATCCCAGGCAAATTACGGGTCCCAACAATTTACGGGATATAACTAGACACTAGCTTGAGTATTTCCGAAACAAAATACACCAATTAAATAAAAATCGGACTGATTGAAGCACACAGGCAAACCCTAGCAGAATGTCAACTAATGCTACAAATTGGTACAGGCAATAGTTAGCTTCAGATAAGACACCTTATTACAAAGATAGCTGTTATACTATATAGCATGGCAAGTGCTAGGATAGAGGGATGCTTAGGTGCCACTGAAACATAGAAAAGCAACTGCTTGGAGTCAAGGATGTTCCTAGAGAAAGTAACATTTCAGGTGAGTGTGCAGTTGATTTACCACCCTCAAAATTATGAAATACATCAAGACCCAGAAATAAATCAAAAAGGTCTCTGATGAGCTAAAACAGGTGTTGATATGCACTTTAATGGTAGAAGAGGTCTTAAGATTTTAACTTAGAGTTCACTGGCTTTTTCAGTTATATACAAGACTAACAAACTTGAGTTTGAACTGATCTAAGAATTTATAACAGGTGGAGCTTAGGGGGCAGAGAGAAGGCAGCAACAGTAAGGCTACTTAAAGTGGGAGGCAGAAGCATGTCAAAAACAAGTTTAAACTTTATCCTGTACGCAATGGGAAGAGTCTTAGGGGAGTTAACTGATAATAGGTGTATTAGGGAAAGATGATTCTAGACACAATATAAAGGATGATTGGGAGGAACATATGAGACCAGAATGGCAGTTATGAAATTCTTAAAACAGCAAAGGTGAGAAATGATGAGGCACAGGCTTAAGGTAAAACAATGGAATGGAAATGAGAAGACAGCCACATAAACTATTTAAAAAGATAAAATCAACTTAATTTGTTGTGAGTAGCAAGATGTGAAAGAGAGAATAAGAGGGAAGGAATACTAATTCAAATTTGACTTATACTATTTCTGATGTTCACAATGACTTAATTCATGAAGGAAAAAAGGATGCTCAATATATTCAGTGTAGCAACTCTCAGAAATACGTATCTCATTAAAAATAGTCCATCCAAGATGATTAAAATTAAAAATTTTGTATCATGAACATAAGTGCTAACGTTTACTGGATATTTCCTATGTGCCATGAACTGTTCTAAGCAATTTATATATATATTAATTCAGTTATGTAAAATGACAAAGAGATGCAGAGCTACTATGATGACTTTCCATCTGTGAGTAAATTAAAGACCCACACAAAGTCAAAGGCAGGGAAGATCAGAAACAAATATCCAGCAGCTTAATTTCTTTGCTGACATATAGAGGCACTGAATCATTCATTTATTCATTCAAGGAATATTTATTAAGTGTCTATAATGAGTTTATGGTTTAATAGATTACTAAAATAATCTTATTCTTAAAACATAACAATAATTATATTCTTAAAAAATAAAAAACAGTGAGAAAAAAATATCACAACTATATAGAGAATGCCACGAAGAGAAGCAAAAATAAAACAAAGATTCCTTCCAGGTAAAGGAATCAAGGAATAATCCTGAACAGCAATGAGATCACAACTATGTCAGGTCATTTAGAATGGAAGGAGGGAGTTAATAAACTAGGATAGAAAACTAGAAGCTAACATAAAGGAAACGGTCAGATAGAACATGGAAAGAGAGTTTCTGGAAGCACATGGACAAAAAAGGTTTCAGGGCAACATGCTGGGAATAACTAGGTGTAGGGTGAGAAGGGCAACACCACAAGGGACAGAGAAAAGACAGTGTAGAGTTTGGGAGCCATGGGGTGGTAGAGACGGGACAGCACAGAAGGACGAGGGGACATCAGTGCAGGGGTTTGTGGTGGCAGCCACCTAGCATGAGATGTCAGAGATCAAGAGGGGTACGGAGACCTTCCCCACAGAGGGGGGCTCACCATGAGGTAACACTCAGAACTTAGTTTCTAAATTCTCCATCCAAAGGTATGCAAATTGCTTTAAGAATCTTATACATAAAGTGGTATAGTATTATTTGAAGGTAAATTGTAAATTAAGTGTGTATACTATAAATCCTAGAGCAAGTATTTTTTTAAAAAGAAAAACCAAGAGGTTTAGCTATCAAGAAAATAGGGGAGATAAACTAGAATACCAAAATATACTCGACTAATCCAAAAGAAGGCAGGAAAAGGGGGAAAAAAAAGAACAGATGGGATAAATGAACAAAAATTACGGGCATAAAAAAGTCTTTCAAATTACAAACACGCCTGAGGAAAGGAAGATAATCTTTTAATATTTTTTATACTACCTCTACAATGGTGCTTCAAAAATATTGAAATTTTATAATATGGTAACGAGTAAATAGATTAGAACATATGGGGATCAGGGTAGAACAGTCAAGGATAAGAGTAAGAAAAGGATAGTAAGAATAACTCAGAGTTCAGGCTGACAAAATCCAGCTGCTCCAAAGATACTGCCATTCATCATGTTCAGCTGAGTTATCTGATAGCATAAATACAGAAATCCTTAAGTAATGAGAGGGGCAATTTTACCTTTCTGCCTGATTTTCTGAGTAATCTAAGTTGATGCATTAGTAAGTTTTATATAACATTAACAAGGTTAATTATGTTCCCCTCTCCCCCCAAAAGAAAACTCTCATCTATTTCTTATGTGTGTTTTCCTATTTTCTTTAAAAATAATCTTTTCAAAATTATTTCAGAGTAATAAATTATACATACTGTAAAAAAATTAATATTTGAGGCTAATTAGGGGGCAGATGCATGAAAAGCATAACTAACATTTAAAGGTACTCCTACATCTGACTGAAATTTACCAACAACCAAGGAATGCATAAATTATCTGTAAGCAAACAAAGTTATTAAGAAAACTTGCTTTGGACAGTGCTTTTGATGACTAAATATTATTTACAATTAATATGTCAACTGTTTGTACATCGATACTTAAACTGTCTCCAAGCAATCATATTTACACAACAGAACTGTTTTGAAGCTAACTCCCCAAAGATAACTACAGAGTGACCTCATCACCAATGATTTAATTATCTTAATTTCTTAAATAATACAATCCCAAATAGCTTTAACTTGAATAAAGACAAACAATGAAACATTAGTAATGCCGAGACACAACATTCTCACTTTTTAAAGGATAAAGAAATAGCAACAGCTTAATACCAAACCAATTTTACAAGTTTGGTTTTAGACACAGGTTAGACTATACAACAAAAACACAAAATTTATACTCACAACTATCAGTAAGATAAATAAACCTGGAGGCATTTTCCCAAGTATTGTGGGATTGAGGAAGATAAAATGTAAAGGGCCAGAGAGTAAATATTTCAGGCACTCTGGGACTCATACATCCTGTGTCACATATTCTTCTTCTTTTAAACATCCCATTGGAAATGTAAAGTTCATTCTTAACCAGAGGGCTAAATTAAAATAAACTGTAAGCTGGATTTGGCCCCAAAACTGCAGTTTGCTGACTGCTGATCTAGATTAATCTCATACAATTTGAAATAGTTCATTTCTGCCAATGAGATCAAAAGTCACCAAAAATATCAATGACACAATTGCTGAGTGAAAAACCTGGACTTCAAAACATTGAGAGAGGGCTTCCCTGGT